ATACCTATGATGAAAATTACAGGCCTCTCTCATCTTTTTAAGTGGGAGAACTTGCACAATTGGTGGCTGACTAAATACTTCTTTGCCCCACTGTATCTTCAAGCCCTTTCTCTGCACCTATCTTAACAAATTAAGGAAAGTAATACAGGAAGTTGCACTAAATCATATTAGACTACAAAAATATTGATCTGAAACAAAGTGGCATTGGTGTTTAAAACCAGGACCTGTATTAAATATCAGTGTAAGCAAATGATCTTGATTTGAAATTACAAAATGAAAGAGAATAGAAAAAAGTTGCTTACCTTTGGTAATTTTCTGTGGTATGGAAATTCAAGTGGAAGAAGATTAAGCATTAAAAAAAAAAATGTGATTAGTGTTTGTAACTGTTAGATCACTTTAATATACTATTTTTCTAGCGTGAAAGATAGTTTAATTCAATATTTACTGATAGTGGAAAAAAATCCTTTTTTCTTCCAAAAAAGAAACACACCAACAAGATTTAGATAAGAATAATTGACTAGCTCCCTAGTAACATTACATGCTCTTTTTGTTTAGTGACAGCAATCTGTTCCTTAAATCGTCATTAATAGAACATGTGACTAAGAGAGAGATGTTGCAAAGATCACTGGTTGCTGTTTCATTTAATAAAGTTCTCTCGTATAGCTATGCCAACATTACTCTCACTCTGGTGTGCGTTACTGTCAGGTACATGAAATTTGGTCATAAATGCACACTTTGGTTGGAAATTATTTTTAAAAAAATTACCATTGTATTTGCAAATGGTCCCTAAATGAGGTAACCGCTAAATGAGGAGTGGCTATATTCAAGGGCAGTTATGTTCTTAAATTTCAATAATTTCCATCAAGAAAAATAAGTTGTAGATAAATTATACAGGATATAATAATATCATCAAAACCATTTAATTTTAATTTTTAGAAGACAAATAGTATGTATGTTTCATACAGTCAACGGTGGTAGAATTTGCATTTTAACAAAATGTAGGAAGAACAATCTAAACCCCCTGAGGAAATTGACTCCCAAAGGACCTGTAAGATATCTTCAGCTATAAATTGAAGCTGAACTGTCCTCTAATACAGATTATACTAATCTCATAATTTTCTTGCATGCTGATGGCTTCAAAGAGTGTATTTATCTTAAACCAATGACACCAATGGTTTAAAGAAAATAAAATGTTTTCTGCAAATGATTATTTAATTAAATCTTTCCCCATTCTAAAATGAGAAGTAGGCAAACTAATTTCTATAACAGTGGGAAAAATATGCTGATTTGCAATTAAGACAGATTCTTCTATTTATTAAAGCATGAAAAAGAAAATCACTAGAATATATGTAGATTGAGAAAATCTCAATGAAATCTGATAAAACATTAATAAGATTTCATTCTCAAAACTACATTGTGGTGATAAAGATAGAACCTCAATTTAAAAAGAAAAACAATTCATTCCAATGTATTCTCTGTACGTTGCTGTAATGGTATGTGGGAATGACCTTGGGAGAAGGGGGAAATGTCTCAGAAGGGACTCTCCTTAGTTTCTTGGGCTGTAAAGGTGATGGGGGAGAAATGTACTTTCAGACTTTCAAGATTCTGTTAATGTAACCTTACAATAAAGTAGAATTAGTTCATCTGGGCATGCTTCCTCTCTGGACTACCTTGCAAGGCTGACTGTCAGTTGCCCAGAGGAGCTTTTTTTGAGCATTTGGGGGCCGTCTGGACTAACAGTAGGTTGCATAGAACACTTAGTACTACAATGAGTTGTTTGATTTTGTCATTACATGTCATGACTTATGCTCTATAATTTTGGAAGTTCAATTTCTGTCCAAGGCACTATCTGATCAGATTTTTAAAATTATAACTATCAGTTTTAAAGGTATGATAATACAGACAAAGTGCTTGATACAGTAATGTACCAACTACCTGTTTGTTTAGCTAAGTCCAGGAGGTTATAAATTATTTCTTAAAAGAAATGAGGTCACAATCAGAAAAAAAAATACTGGAACCCAAATTTCTAAATAATTGGCTAATCAGATCACATTTGGATGAAACATTATTTTCTAAAGTGATTTCAATCAGTCAAAGTTTAGGTTTGGCACAGAAACTAGTTTGGACATACTATGAGATGATATTTGCTAAGAGAGGCACAGGAAGAATGTGATCCTACTGATTTTTCAGGACCTCTTAGCACCTTTCAATACCACTGATCATAGTATCCTTTTGGATGTCTTTGCAGTTATTCCAATCATAAGACAATCTATAGACACCTAAGACAGAAAAATCAAGATACCAGTATATACACATGATATAACTGTATACTCCTTTATGTTCAGTATTATTTCTACTAATGCACTATTTTATCTGGAACCTCTGTTTAAGGTTGGGCCTCAGGTTTTGAACATTAAAATGTCTTCTGCCATATTCTTTATTATGATTGCTTAACATATGGAGAAAATGTTTGATCAATAATTTTTTCCTCATTGTTCTTTTTGAAGAAAGATTAATGACAGAATGAGTTGTAGATGTATACTTTATATGGAGGGATGAATCACATGGAACATAAGAAGGGTTTGTCATGTGGAATTTAATGTGATAGACAGCTTTTTCATGGAAGGAAATAGTGTATTATGAAAAATACTACCAGGATAGGTACTCTACAGTTAAATAATTAGTCTGAGAAACATAGTAAGTTCAACTGAAAATTGACAGAAAACTCTTGGGCAAATTTTCACTGGTAAATAGAGTCTTAAAAAATGCAATTATGTATCAACACATCCTAGAAGCTAATATCCCACAGTCAGTGAAGAAACTGAAGCTGAAAAGATGTTGGATATTTCAGAAGTCAATTATGTGAAAGGTGCGTCCAAATCCGACATAATCCACCAGGAAAAAAATGTAAAGGTTTTGGAATGTTTTGATCATTACTGAAAATCTGTGAGGGAACTCAACATGCAGTGCACCCAAGGAAACATAAGAATATTTCTGCAAAAAAAAGTGGGGGAAAATCCAAAAGAAAGAATAGAAAGACTTTTAGCTGGGTGGAAATATTTGTAAGCTGTTATTTTTGCCAAAGGAGGTGTTACAACATACTGTTTGAAAGTGCGTCCAAACTTCTGCACTTTCATATTCACTATTTTCTTATTTTGAATCTATAAACAACTGTACATAAATAGTAAGTACGCATTCAGATTTGCAGATAGATTTGGAAGTTGCATCAGCTTCTTCTAGTTGGTAGGGTACTTTGGATATATAGGGTTAGCTGAACCAGAGAAAATTCATGTTTCAGAGGAATGAAACCTCTCTGCAGGCTTGCCCAGCAAATAACCTTTTCCAAGGGTGGACTAAAACAATGATATGCACAAACCAGAAGATGATCAAGGCATGACTAATGGATAAAAGTACCAAGTGTCAGGACAAGAACTTCTATGATAAGGAACTGCTTAAAAACAGCCAGACCCCTCCTGAAATTGCATTTTAAATTGTAACATTACTCCATGACAAGATTGATGAAAACCAGCTGGTCAGAGTCTAATACTTCTAAGTTATAAAATGGGAAACAAAGAGGAGTTAGCAGAGTAAACTGTGTACGTGTGCGTGTGTCAAGCTTACTGCTTTTTACCAGCTATTTTTCTTGCTATCTTTTCTACATAGGGATAGCTTTCTGAAATCAAAGAGCTGCAAGCCAACTTTTAGTAACTATGGCTACTAATTTAGATAATCCCCTTGCTTACATTAGTTGGGAAACCCATGTTGATCCATGATGCATACTTTTAATTAGTAGCTGGAATTGAGAAATGTATTAAAGCAACAACTATATCCAAGCTGTAATTCAATAAATCTATGCAACTGTTGCATTGGACCCTGTTGCTTTCCAAGCTGATTATGCCCACTGGGGACGAAAGTCCTGAGAAGAAGGGTAACGTTTCTTTAGGTTTATCCTAAGGACAGCTCACTTAGAATTCACTGAAATCCAGAGGTGCTTAAACTTTTGCATGCAACTATAGTACTGCTATATGATGGTTGACTGAAAAGTTATGCTCAACCTCCATAACTTTAGTTTAATTAGGGATATGTTAATAAATGAAACAGGAAAATAATTCTTGAAATAAGCTCTTTTGTTACCTGTATTTACTTCTCCATATAATCACCACCATTTGCTACCAACAAAGGCCAAGCTTTTTATAGCCATCATGAAAGAACTCCACACTTTGCCCTTTCAGCCAGGCCCTGACAATTCTTCCAATCTCTTCATTTGAATCAAACGGATACCCATAAAGTATTTCTTCCATTTTGGAAAAAGGTGGAAGTTGCATGGCAACAAGTCTGGCAGTGAGAATTCACAACTTCCTCTTGAGTAGATTGTGAGGTATGAGGCCTAGTGTTTTCATGTTGCAGCAAAATTTTCTTCTTGTGTTTCTGAACGCTACTTAATTGTTGTTTCAAAGTTCTGAGTGTTGCAATGTAGCACTGAGTTGACTGTGGTGCCAGGTTGAAGGAAATCAATGTGAGGAACATAATATGTGACTCCCAAAATGTAATTATGCTGAAACCTGAGGTCTGGGTTTTTTTTCGGTCTCTCTCTTTCTGGTGAAGCTTTGTGATGGTATTCCATGGACCGATGCTTCAATTCTGGGTCATAACAGTTAGCCCATTTTGGGGGGGCTATCATGATGCTGTGAAAAAATTCCTCACCTTTATTCTGATAATGCAACAACAATTGCTGAAAAATTTCAACTCACGAAGCTTTCATCTCTACCATCGGCATGCAAAGAACCTACCTTGCAGACTTTCCAATATTAAGAAACATAAAGAATAGGACCTTTACTTTCCTGTGAAATGTCAAGGTTGATAGCAATTTCCTTTTGACTGATCTGCTGATTATCTTAATCATTTCAACCTTTTTCATGTGAAACACATTAGCTGTCATCACAGGTCTTCCACATTATTCTTAATCACACAAATCAGCTATTCCTGGTTCACCATCTTTATATTTTTTGGCCCAGAAATGCACAATACTCAAGACAACAGAGTAATTACTATAAACAATCTTCATTCAGTGATGAACATCAGTTAGAGAGCCTCTTTTGGCAGTCAAAAATTCAATCATGGCATGTTGCTCAAACAACTGACAAGTACTCACTGCAGCCTTCCATTTCACAAATAACAGCAACACAACCTTTTCTCTCAGCAACTTGCCAAATAAAGTGAAATAAAAGGTGCTAAAGAACACATCAGAGCTTCTAGCATGTCAGTACTCCCATCTATTGGCGACTTATAACATTGGAAGCATCAGTTTTCATTCA